CTTCAAACTTAAAAATGTTTATGCATCAAAGGATGCTACTAATAAAATGAAAAGGCAACCCACAGACTGGGAGAAAATACTTGTAAATCATATATCATCAAATAACAGCCTAGTATCTAGACCATAAAAAGACCTCTTACACTCAAGATAAAAAGACAAAGAAAATTTTTAAATGGGCAAAGAATTTGAATAGACATTTCTCCATGAAAGATATACAAATAAAGACATCAAAAGAGACGTTCAACATCATTATTGAAATATCAATCAAAACCACAATAAGGTATCACTTCATGTCCACTAGGATAGCTAAGGTAAAAAAAAAAAAAAGGAGAAAGAGAGAAAACAAACCCTGGTCAGAGTGTGGAGAAACTGGAAACTAATTACACTGTGGATTAAAAGAATGTGAAATGGTGCAACTGCTATGAAAAATCAGGCAGCTCTTCCAAAAATTAAACATACTTACAGAGGTACGAACAACTTCACTTCAGTGAAGAACTACAAAGAGGTATTCAAATAAAAACATAAAATTAATAGCAGTACTAATCACAAAAGTCAAAAGATTGAAGCAAAAGGGAAATGTCCAACTGATGAACAGACAAAATATACACCCACACAATAAAATATTGTTCAGTCATAAAATGGATAAACCTTAAAAATATGCTATGTGAAAGAAGCCAGACAAAAGGCCACATCCTGTAGGATTTGATTTACATGAATATCCAGAATAGGAAAATACATAGAAAGCAGATTTATGTTGCCAGAGTCTGCAAAATAGAGTTATTACTTATTCTTTTAGGGTAATGAAAACGTTCTAGAACTACATAGTGGTATTGGTTGCACAATAGTGTGGATGTACAAAAAGCCACAGACTCTATACTTTAAAATGGTTAAAAACGGAATTTTGGTGCTCACTTCAGCAGCACATATACTAAAAAAAAGGAATTTTGTTAAACTGACCTTGATTAAAAATAAAAGTCTATTTTTCTTCCACATCAAATTGTACCTGAAGACATTTTTATCTTGAGATTTTTTTCCTCTTAAAAGTAGGAGCAGGGCCTCCCTGGTGGCACAAGGGGTTAAGCACCACACTATGAAGCAATCCACAGCCTCTGCAGTACAAGTTCGATCCCTGGCTGATCCTCGGCCGGCCAGGGAGAAACCCACAGGCAGACCTGTCTCGCCCACTGCTCCCCTCAGTGGTGTATTTCAGTCAGTCTGCCTGTCCTGTTCCCCACTCTATCTCTGTTGGATCCTCTCACTCCCCGCATCTCTGGCCTGTACCCCAGCTCTTGTATGCATAAAAAAATCAATCTTTAAAAAAATAAAAGTAGGAGCAGCAACAGTCACAAACACTAGCTTTAGAGTTTACAAAATACTTTGCTGTACAATCTTCTATAACTCTATAACCTTCAAAATAACCCTAAGCTAGATATAATCACCCCACCTTAGGGATCTGAAAAAGAGGCTCAGAAAGGTATAAAGTATTGAATATGAAGTGGGAGAGCTGGCTAAACAAGCCAGACTGGCCTGACTCCACTGTATTATACTGCCTCCAAGGTAAATGGTTCTATCTCTGATAAGCTTGAAAAAGGATAGGAGATGCCATCTTGGGCAATTTTTCTTCTTCCAGAGTTAATATTTTAATTAATCAAAGCAGAAATATTCACTGTACATAATGAAAATCTTATCAAAACCAATACAGCTCATTATTGTGCAATAGCATCATTACAGATTTTCTTTTTCCTATTTTCCACAAATACAGCTTAAGTTTCTCCATACAAGATATGTCGCGTTAGCATGGCCCCTTCTCCAGTGAAGTTGAGCATAATGTTCACAGGTTTGGCAGTAATGAGATGATTGTGCATGTTTCTTGTACAACAGGCCTCATTAAGCTACAGTCACATTTCCTATTAAAGGCTAACAAGTAAATGACAAATCAGAGGTGTCCTAAGACACTGATGAGGGAGAAGCAGAAGGGTAAGAATTACCTTACTGTTTCATCACAGTGGCCACTTTAATAATCTTGAAGAAAGGATTCCACAGTTTTAAAAAATGTACTTCAAAAAAACCACTGTAGTGTACATGTGTACATATAATTAATATTATAATTAGAATTATTTCTAAAAACAAGCAGAGAATAATGTTAACAGGGCTGTCACCCTACACCTGGTTTGATTTTTCTCCATTGAACCATCTTTGTAAACCTTATTTTAGAGAGTAGGCACCATAACCACACCCTGAGAAATAAGTGACTTGTATCAGATGACAGGGTGAAGTATGAACAGGGTTCAGATATGAAGCACTACCCCTGGTGGCTCAGCCTGCTGGATGGTGCATAGTTCAAAAAACCTTGGTGATATACGATGGTTTCGTGCACTGTGACCTGAAGCTACTGATATCTCTTCTTGTGCATGCCAAATACCTGAGCTAGCTGTGGTCAGTAATGTCTAGAACTGTGACAGCTCAAGAGCAAAGATTAGTCTCTCTTTCTCCTGTGTTCCAGATTATCCCTTGATTTCCTTTATGGAAATCTCTTTCCAAAAGCAACATATGGTACAAAAGAAATTATGAAGTATGAAACAGAAATCATGGGTTCAAGTCCTGTCTCTATTAGTATCTCCTTCATGCCTCAACTATTTGGGCCTCATTTTACTCACTGTACTTACCTTAAGGGCTATTAGGAGAATTAAATGAGAAAGTACAGCAGTTCCCATTCTGTGGGCTACAGACCATGTTAAAAGAGGTCTGAAAAAGCATTTACTAGGAAAAAGAATCATTTATGGATTCAGACTGAAAGCCCTGGGTAAAATTATGTGGGTTAACATAATAATGGTTTTATCACTGGAACAAGTTACCGAGTCTTTCTATACTCAATTCCTCATCTGTTATTGGAGAAAACAGTACTTACCTTATTGGTTACTGTGAGGATTAACTGAGTCTATACATAAAAAGTGCGTATAGGGCTTCCCCTGGTGGCGCAGGTGGTTGAGCACAGCACTGTGAAGCTGTCTGCAGCCTCTGCAGCACTGGTTCGATCGCAGCCGGCCAGTGAGGGTCCCACATGGCGTGGCAGACCTCTTCTGTCATGCCCACTACTCCCCTCAGCAGTGTATTTCTTCAGTCTGCCTATTCTGTTCCCCACTCTGTCTCTGGTGAATCCTCTCACCCTCCCGCAAATCTGGCCTGTACCCCGGTTCTTGCATAAATAAATAAATCTTAATTTTAAAAAAAGTGCATGTAACAGTGGTTGGTTCAGTATGAACCAGCTATTGTATGTACTATAGTATGTCAGCTATCATAACTATTATATGTACCTATGTATTCTTTCAAAGTATTTGTGTATGTGTCAAGTTTTGTTTGTTTTAAAGATTTATTTATTTATGCATATAAGAACTGAGGTACAGGCCAGTGGTAGAGGGGTGAGAGGATTCACCAGAGATAGAGTGGGGAGCAAAACAGGCAGAATGACTGAAATAACTGCTGAAAGATAGAACTTGTGCTACAGTAGGTGTGGATTGTTTAATAGTGCTGTGTGCCAAGTTTTTTATGTTAAAAGGTATTATTATAGTTGAATGAGTTAAAAACTTCTAATAGTTATGAAAGAATCCAACAGACTACCTACCAATTATCAGAGCAGCTGAATTTAATGTTTCAATTATTTTAAAATATTTGAGGCCTATTTTGTGATCTAACATATGGTCTATCCCAGAGAATGTTCCGTGTGCACTTGAGAAGAATATGCACACTTCTGTAGATGGGTGGAAAGTTCTGTGAATGTCCGTTATATCTAATTGACTTTTAGTGTTGTTCAAGTCATCTGCTACCTGTTGATTTTCTCTGTCTGGTTGTTCCATTCATTACTGAAAGTGAGATATTGATGTCTCCAACTATCATTGTAGTAACATCTATTTCTCCCTTTAATTCTGTGAATTTTTGCTTCACATATTTTGGGGATCCTTTGTTAGGTACATGTGTTTGAAACTGTTATAGCTTCTTGTTGCACTGAACTATTTATCAATATACAAAGTCCTTTGTCTGGGGTCTCCCCTGGTGGTGTAGCAGTTGCACGCTGGGCTGCGAAGCTGCCCGCAGCCTCTGCAGCGCCTGTTTGATCCCCGGCCACCGGCGAGGGTCCCACATGGCGCACAGACCTCTCCTGCCGCCCCCGCTGCTCCCCTCAGCAGTGTACTTAGTCCGTCTGCCTGTTCTGTTCCCTGCTCTGGCTCTGGTGAATTCTCTCACCCTCCCGCGCTTCTGACTATACCCAGTGCTTGTGTAAATAAATAAATCTTAAAAAAAAAAACAAAAAAAAAACCAAAGTCCTTTGTCTCTCATTTTCTTTGGTTTTAAGATTACTTTGTCTAATATGTAATAGGCAGCCAGCTCTTTTGGTTATTATTTGCATGGGGTATCTATTTCCCATGCTTTTATTTTATATATTATCTAGAGTATATAAAGTATCTTTCAGGATATAAATGGATCATAGTTCTTGTTTTTTAAATCCAATCTACCTTTAATGAGAAATTTAATCCATTTACATTGAAAGTAATTACTGATAAGGAAGGATTTACTTTTGCCATTTAGCTAAGTTTTCTTATTTATACACTTTATTCTTTATTTCCTCCATTACAACCTTAAAAAAAAAACCCTAAATCCTACCTATAAGATTCAGTAGAGACTTAGTCTTCCCAGTCAAATGATCACTTCTCCCTCTATTTGAATAGTTCCTGATAAATGTCTCCTTTATGAATCTGTCCCAAAATGCTTAAAAGTGGGGGGACCTTTACCTAGTCATGAAAATAGTCTCAGGTACTATCCATTTTCACCCTCTGGATCACTTACCCATTGAACAGATATCCACCATACATTAATCACCATTCATACATAAAGTCCACATCCTCTGCCTACACGTGATCTGGGTTAGGCTAGACCCTAGAATTCCTAAGGAGGGTCACTCAATGACTGATGTACAAAAAAAAATGAGAGGCAGAGTGGCTTACATTGTAGGAGCGGGGATGCCTCTGCTTCCACTGTACCAGGAGCAGCTGGGCCACCACCAAGGTAGCAATGAGGATGAGGACCATTTCAGCGTGCATGGCTTCGTGGCCGCGGTGCTTGGCATGCATGCGTGCGTGCTCGATCCTGAAAGCCAAACAAAATGGAGTAAGCTAGGTCAGGGATGGCAAGGTGGTAAAGGAACAGTATTTTCCACAGATATTCCAGTAATGTGTAGCTTAGACATATTCATTGTGTTTTGCAGTTGCAGGGTAGCAAGCAGCAAGTAAGGGGCTAGAAAGACACACGCCCGAGGACAGGCATTTGGGGACAAAATAGCTGTTCTCTAGGAGACAGTCACCAAACTTAGTCACTGGGGTGAAAGGTGAGTATTCTGCCTGTCCCAACTGGGCACCTTATATTATTCCTGCAGCTAGAAAGAGGATCCAGAAGAATCCTGTGTCACTGCCCATTTTGGTCTTATTTTAACTTGTCACTGCAAAGAGAAAGCAACTCAGAGAGAAGATTACAGTCATAAAGCCTTCTACTTAGTCAATGATGTTTATGAAACCTGTAAAGGAGAAACACTGCAAATGTGTGTTGGTTCCAGGATTTTATAAAGTATTGCTTTATTCATTCTCCTGTCAGTACTAGGGATTCTGAAGACAAGGCAAAGTCTGAAAATCTGTTTTAATTTTATACTAATCCAACAATGACTTCACCAACACAGATAAATAACCTCTTCAAGGGGTCAAGGAGAATACAGCTGGAAACTCTTATTTAATCTAAGATTGGCCTACTCTTTTCCTAAGGATTGGCAGAAAGTAATTCCATTGGCCAATACAGGCAAAAAGCTTCCTCTCAGAGAAGCACATCCACTCTTACCACTACGGGTCATAGTCAAACAAGGGAGAGGAATGAGGAAGGAGTTAAAAAACTAAAACTAATGTAACCTGTAGTCAGGACCGCCTTCTCTAAACATGGGGTAATAGGGAGGGAGGTAAAGGATAACATAGATGGTGTCTTCATGGAATTCCTAAGAACAGTGAAAGTCTAAGGAAGAAGAACCCAGAGGGATGAATTATGGATAAATGATAGGGCAATTTTAGCAAAAAGCTAACTATAGATTCTAGGTGGTGGGCATTTGGGTATTTAAAATTCTTTCAATCATTGCACAATTCTTTCAACATTTCTGTACGTTTGAAGTTTTTCATAATACAATGTTAGAAGGGAAAACTTGGTGGGCAAAGTGAGCAGCCAAATGTCTGCCTAGCCAAGAGTTTGTCTTAGATAAAAATCTATCCTGAGTGAGAATCTGACGAAAAGATAACAGGGTTACTCAACACTTAGGTTCAGACACATCTAAGCAGTCACAACCAAGAGAATTCACATCTCTACATCACGATTTCTTCATCTGTCAAAAGGGGATCATAACATACCTCATAGGGCTGTTGTGAGGAAAGCTAAACTAAAAAAATAAAGAATTCTTTAAAAAACTAAAGGCTATGAAAGTTGTAAAGATAACATAAGTTTCTTGTTCTCAAACAGTATATAACTGAATGGATGTGAAATCAACAAAAGGCTCTAGAAGAGCCCACTGAAGTTATCTAGTTTAATTTCCATCCAATGCAAAAATGATTTCTATAATCCCTTGTTTGAATGCTTCCAATGGCTGAGAACATAAATGCCTCTTAAGGTAATCTATTATAGAACCAGCACTCTGGCACATTGTAGATACTTATATGTGCTTATGAAGGAATAAAATTCCAATGCATTAGGAGACAGGAAGCTCACTGTTTCTTGGTATACCAAGATTATTAAAGATATTTCTGATAATGAAACAAAATCTATCTTCATGTTGCTTTAATTCATTGGACCTAATCCCACACTCTGGAACAAAGGACATCTATTCCTCTTTCCCAATGCTGCCCCTTCAAAGGTTTATCACATCTTCTTTAAAAAAAAAAAAACAAACAAAAAGCTATCCTGTTCCTATCACCATTCTCTTGTGCCCTTTTAGGTTAACAGTTCTAGATCTTCTAAACACTATTCATGTAACATAATGTGGAAACCAGTAGTCCTAGCTGCCTTCTTCTAGATATTATCTAGCTAAGTATGACCTTAATATGCTGTGTTTACAACAAAATCAGCGTAGCATCACTGAAACAAGAGCACTGTTGCACTATCACCTCCCTTGATTGTGAGACAGATGTGAACATCTAAATTTTTTGGAGTATTTTGGTGTTAAGTGGCACATATTAAGCTTAAAGTCCTCTAAAATTTCACTGGGTTTGTCATGTGAGTTGATGCTATGGTTTTATAATCAACATTTTTATAGTCAATAGCTCTAGTCTAAATGAAGGATTTCTTTCTCACTATTAAATTTTACTTGGCTGTGTTCAGCTCAATGGTCAGCCACCTTAGGAGGTCTATGTGGTACTCTGACACTTCTTTACTTAAGAGAAAGCATGACTGTAAGATATTGCTGATTAATTCTGGTGAGTACAGCTCAATTCACCTTAGTCCAGGAAAGCCAATAGCAAAGTTGAGATAAGAAGACATGTCTATTTAATCAAGCAGAGCTCTCTCTGCCTTATTTCATGGATAACGATGCTAATGATACCATCTTCCAAATAAGCAACACTTACTGGAAGCTTACTACATGCCAGGTGCTGTTCTAAGGATTTCACATAAATTAATCTAATCCCTGACTTTACAGATGGGGAAAACTAAGGTTAAAACAGATGTTAAGTAATTTGCTCAAGATCACATAGATAGGAAATGGCAAAACTGGTATTCAAACTCAGATGGATTGTTTGGTACAGTTACCTATTTACTCCCCTAGTACTGAGAGACACCCAGGAATGACCCAGGTACAGTAAAACATGCCCAAAAAACCTGTCTTACTAGTTATAAACCACTGCCTTCTACAATCAAGGAAGTAAACAGGATAAACATACAACACTATTAATTGGGTTAATATATAGTTCTCTAGCCCAAGGGGCATGCACTGTCATACTTACCTCCATTGTTCCTCTGGGGAAAGGTCTGACATATCAACCTGTAGAAAAACACCATCAGAGAAATCCATTACTGCTTTAGAATCGTCCCTGCCCAATATAAGGTGTTCATGCATTAATCAGTATTTTCAAGGAATTACATGAAGCTTCCAGTGTCACAATCTCAACAAAGCTTTCCCCAATACTCTATTTCCCACTGGCGTCTCCCTTCTCTAACCACTTGCTTTGGCTTATGCTTATGACTATAGCATATCTGTGCTAGGCAATGAGGGTGAGGACTGGCCCCTGAGCTGAGCATATCTGTGCAGCCAAACTCCCAAGACAGACATCCATACAGGAAAATTTCTTATTATATGCTGAAGACTAGGTATGGAAGAATAAAAAAGCAACTTCTAATCCAATCTGTGGTGTGAGAGATTAGTGAGACTTTCCTGGAAGAGATGTGAATTATCATCCAAATAAAGAAATGAGAGAACTATGTTCCAGGCAAAGGGAATATAATATGAACATGAAGGAGTAAGTTGTATAGTATACAAACAATTCAATATGGCTAAAACAAAAAGTATGAATCAGTATTAATGAAGATGAAGCTAGAGATAACATTCTGTGATATAATGACATTTGACTCTAATGGAGCCCATGGTTGCAGGTAAAACATTAGACTAGGGTGCACTGAGCTGGAGACCCTGCTCTGCTATTAACTAGCAGTTTGACCTTCCAACCTCAAAGTTCTGGTTCTATATGTTAGTCTTTTTAGAGCAGGGTTTCTTTACCTTGGAACTACTGATATTTTGAGCTATCAATTCTTCACTGGATGGGAGGAGGCTATTCATTGTGGGATGTTTAGCAGCATCCCTGGCCTCTACCCACTAGATGATAGTAGTATACTCCCAAGATGCAACAACTAAAAATGTCTACAGAGATTGTCAAATATTCCCTGAGGGACAAAAAAATGCCTCCAGTTGAAAATCACTGGTCTAGAAGAATACTAAACTCTTGAGTTCAAGGTTCAAGTCTCACTTTCTTAAAGCCATACAGAAGCACATGAAAGCACTCAAATGAGCTGAGCTGAAACTGTCCCATGATCTAGAAAAGAGAGACTAGGCCTCAGAATTACTGAAATTAATTAATCAATTAATACCCTTTAGTTCTCATGTTGCCCATGGCCTAGCTTCCCATTATCCTTTGATAATTTCAAAAAAGGACTTTAAGGGTGATGTTTAAAATATAATCAGGGCCTCCCCGGTGGCGCAGTGGTTAAGCGCTGGGTTGCGAAGCTGCCCGCAGCCTCTGCTGTGCCGGTTCAATCCCTGGCTGCTTCCAGCCACTGGAGGAGGGTCCCACATGGCGTGCAGACCTCTCCTGCCGCCCACTGCTCCCCCAAGCAGTGTACCTCGGTCCTTCTGCCTGTTCTGCTCCCCGCTCTGGCTCTGGTGAATTCTCTCACCCTCCCGCGCTTCTGACTGTATCCAGTGCTTGTATAAATAAATAAATCTTTAAAAATATAAAAAAATATATATATAATCAGCTGAACATCATATCACTGAGTCAAATTTACCAGACATCTCTAAATGCGTATACTAGAAATGCTGCTCACCACTGAAGGAAGGCTTTCAGGTTTCTACATATCCTAGTCACGTTTAAAAAAAATATCACAAAACTTCACCAAGCCAATCAAGGCTATGAAGTCAACCGCCCTCCTCTTTTTCCCTACTCACACATTGCCTAAGGTGTCCTGACAGGTCTTCATCTCCCCAGGAGGACAGAGTTCCCCTCAGAGAGGGAACAAGTAGACCTAAGAAATGGAAAGGCCCAGGTGGCCTGAACAAACAATTAAGGAACCTGAACAAACAAGTAAGGAACATATTTCACAAGGAATACACAAGTTTCATGCTACCTATAAACGCTCTTTACTTCCTTTCCAACTTGAACTTGCATCGCGCCAAGAAACTCTGTCCACTGTCCCAAAACTCATGGGACCCATTTCTGTCTCTAGTCTTTGTGTATTTCTTTGCTGCTTGCTTGAATAACACAGAGCTGGGCATATATTAAGTATTTGATGAGTACTTGTGGAATTGAACAGAATTCTCTCTAATAGGGTAGAAAGCAAGTATGCTGACAAACCAGCAACCACTCTGAGATGCTCAAAGAGGAGAGAGCATAAGCAGACACTTGAAAAATACCTAACAAGCATCTAGGAAAGATTATTCACTTGAAATCAGGAGGCACCTGAAAAATGTTTTTAAAAATACATGTCAAAACAAACCAAAAAACAACTAAATGTCAAAGAGCAAGACAAGTCCATTGAAAGTAAAATTGGGAAGATCCAGAGAATTGGGTCAGGTGTAGGGGTGTCTCTGCATGAGAGAGTGGTCAAACATCCTCCATAAATGCCTTGGTTTCTCCAATAGAAAGGGTAAGAAAACAGATTAGAGACTGACTTTGGCACTGTGGGGTTGTGAGGGTAAGGACATTCAAGGTGACCACGCGATTTCATTAGCTTCCTGCTGGGAGAGTGGGATTATTAGAAGATGATGGGGAACTGAATGTTGGTGAAGCGTAGGACAGTAAAGCTTTCAGTGTCTCAAGAAAAACAGCTCAGATGGGAAATGCTGAGACTTAGACTACACCTATGGCTTAGAGGACCACTATATTATTCAGTACTTCATGGGACATTACAAATGCCAAGTAAAATATGATTCGGCTTTACAGTATCATTCTCAACGGTGAAAAGCTGAAAGCATTTCCATTAAGATCTGGAACAAGACAAGGATGTCCACTCTCACCTCTGCTTTTCAATATAATACTGGAAGTCCTAGCCAGAGCAATAAGACAAGAGAAAGACATACAAGGAATCCAAATAGGAAAAGAAGAAGTCAAACTATCACTATCAAACTATCATATCATATTTGCAGATGATATGATAATATACATAGAGAACCCCAAAAACTCCACAGAAAAACTAATTCAACTCATCAATCAGTTCAGTAAAGTGGCAGGATACAAAATCAACACGCAAGGGCTTCCCCTGTGGCGCTGCGGTTGAGCACTGGGTTGCGAAGCTGCCCGCGGCCTCTGCGACGCCGGTTCGATCCCCGGCTGCTCCCCGGCCACCGGAGGAGGGTCCCACATGGCGCGCAGACCCCTCCTGCCGCCCACTGCTCCCCTCAGCAGTGTACTTCGGTCCTTCTGCCTGCTCTGCTCCCCGCTCTGGCTCTGGTGAATTCTCTCACCCTCCCGCGCTTCTGACTGTACCCAGTGCTTGTATAAATAAATAAATAAATAAATCTTTAAAAAAAAAAAAAAATCAACACGCAAAAGTCAGTAGCCTTCCTATACACAAACAATAAATCTGAAGAAGAAATAAAAAAAAAAATCCCTTTATTATCAAAACAAAAAAAATCAAATACTTGGGAATAAATCTAACAAAAGAGGTAAAGGACCTATACAAAGAAAACTATAAAACACTGTTAAAAGAAATAGAAGAAGACAGAAAGAAATGGAAAGACATCCCCTGCTCATGGATTGGAAGAATAAACATTATTAAAATGGCCATCCTACCAAAAGCAATTTACAGATTCAATGCTATTCCAATAAAAATTTCAGTGTCATTCTTCAAAGAAATAGAACAATTATTGATGAAATTCATATGGAATCACCAAAAACCCCGAATAGCCAAAGCTCTCCTGAAAAAAAAAAAAAAGAAGGGAATGGAGGCATCACACTCCCAGACTTCAAACTATACTACAAAGCCATAATCATCAAAACTGCATGGTATTGGAACAAGAACAGACACACAGACCAATGGAATCAAATAGAAAATCCAGAAATAAACCCACAGATTTATCATCAACTAATCTTTGACAAAGGAGTAAAGAATATGCATTGGAGCAAAGAAAGTTTGTTCAATAAATGGTGCTGGGAAAACTGGGTCACTACATGCAAAAGAATGAAGCTTGACTACTACCTCACACCATACACAAAAACCAACTCAAAATGGATTAAAGAACTAGACATAAGACCTGAAACCATAAAATACATAGAAGGAAATATAGGCGAAACACTACATGATATGCACATCAAAGACATCTTTACAGACACATCACCCAAAGCAGTGATAGTGAAGGCAAAGATCAACAGCTGGGACTACATCAAATTAAAGAGCTTCTGCACAGCAAAAGAGACAATAACAAAAACAAAGAGAAACCCCACCAACTGGGAGAACATTTTTGCACACAACACTAATGATAAAGGACTGATCACAAAAATCTACAAAGAGCTGCTAAGACTCAACAAAAACAAAGAAAATAATCCAGTCAAAAAAATGGGCAGAAGAGCTAAAAAGAAACTTCTCTGAAGAGGAAATGCGAATGGCCAACAGGCATATGAAAAAATGTTCAACATCACTTGTCATCAGGGAAATGCAAATCAAAACTACCATGAGATACCATCTTACACCAGTGAGAATGGCACATATTAAAAAAACTAGCAACAACAAATGTTGGCGAGGTTGTGGAGAAAAAGGAACTCTTCTGCACTGTTGGTGGGAGTGCAAACTGGTTCATCCACTATGGAGAGCTGTGTGGAGATTTCTGGACCTACTAAACATAGAGCTTCCATATGATCCAGCAATTCCACTCCTAGGTATCTACCCAAAGGACACAGAAACATCAATTCCAAAGAACACCTGCACCCCTATGTTTATAGCAGCAGTGTTTACAATAGCTAAGCTTTGGAAACAACCCAAATGCCCAAAAATAGATGACTGGATCAAGAAGATGTGGTACATATATACCATGGAATATTACTCAGCATTCAAAAAAGATAAACACATGCAATTTGCAGCAACATGGATGGCGCTGGAAGGGATCATGCTCAGCGAAATAAGCCAGAAAGAAAAAGAAAAATACCGGATGGTCTCACTCATAGCAGAAATCTAGAAAACTTAAATAAAAGGGACCAGGAAAAAGAATAACTATAAGAAAGTAAAAATCAAAATCAGCAAACAACTATGAACCAGAGACACTCTATGGGGGTTGGG